GAGATTAGACCCTTTAGTAATGGATTTTTGTGTGTTGGGGGAAGGGGAGGGCTTGGCAGGGGTAAATGTACTAGAAAAGAATCTTGGAGAGACTCTGATGTATCTGAAGTGGCTGCTGCATTTCTGTGTGTATTGGGAGATAGATTTAAAGTGTGACAGTATTGGCTTTATCAGTACAGGGGCCTTCTCTTCTTGCTTTTGAAATTTTACCAAGTACTAACTTGGGTCACCTCAATCAGTCTAGCACCTGGAGTTGTACTGGTACTACCTTACATATTTTTACATCTTCTGTCTTTTCATCTTGCTGTTAAGAAAATCAAATCCCCTCTATTCAAACATGTTCAAGAAATCTCTCTAAACTTACATTGCATATTACAAGTTTTGCCTGAATCATAACAATGAATGAGTTTGTTTACTAAATCGGGTTTAGGGGGTGATTTGAGAGCATAAATGTGAAAAGCAGTTCAGAAACATGCAGCAGAAATGTTTAGGGCATGACTTACTGTGACTTCCCAGTTACTTCCTTTTCTCTGCAGGTACACAAAGGCCTCGAACTTAATACACATGAATGTAGTATTACTTCGGAGACATTGGAGTTCACTAGCACAAGCAAGGTTGCTCCTGTCAGTTGATTTTATACCATGTAGTAAATGCTCTTGCCCTACAAGTGTTGATAATAAGACATCTTTGTCTCTTTGGTCAGTGGAGTCAAGATTGCCTGCTGTTAGCCAACATCATTGAATTATCAGTAATATTTCAAGCCTTTTAAAAATACGTTTAAATCAATTCTTCTTCTTCAGAAAATAAAATCAGATTTTATTTTGTGTTCTGGCAGGGATCTGAAGTTTGAAATTTATAAGATAACTTCTTGCTCAAAGGAGAAATGACTTGCAATTTCATGTAAAACATTCCTCATTTCTTCTTCATTCTTGACTAATCATCTCTTGAATTGAAAAATAATTTAAACCCTTGCTTTTATATTTGATGCAGTGCATTTCTGTGGCTTTCTCAAAAGAAGTGATTTGGTTCTATCTGTACAGAGGTGGTACATTTCCTGTTTCTCAGGCTAGAAAGTATACAAATCAGTCTCCTCTAAGACAAACCGATTCCTCCTTTAATTTCAGAGTTCTTAATAAAATTGTTCTTCGTTTGGGTCTTAAACTGGGTGCTGTTACAAACAAAATGTTTGGGGATTAGGCTGTTGACAGATAGCAAAGAAGAACAGCACTTCAAAATGAGGGGTAGCAGGTTTCACCCTGTGTTTTTGCATGTTCTGTGTGAGTTTACTTCGTGGTGAAATTATTGTTTTGTATAAAATCTAGGTCTGTACAACAGCACATTATGTATAACATGCAAGCCCTCTTACTCTGCAGATATAGATAGATATATTTATGCACAGAGAATATGCATACAGTAAAGTATTATACCTTAATCAATTTGCTACAGATGGTAGCAGTCCTTCTGCTTGCCTTGTATCTGCATGTTGGCTTTGGAGGAGCTCCAGACAGGGTCTGTGGATTGAGTCCTTTCTGATACCGATAAGCCTGACTTTCCCTAGTAGTTGAGATGAGGTGTTGAAGCCATCCATCTAAATACACGTTGTAAGATTGTTTGCCTTTCAAGTTTGGAGGTAGTTATCTGTAAGTAATCACTCGGGATGAAATCTTGGCCCTTGGTCACTTCTTAATAAGATCGTTATTAAGGCAGAGTGCCCGTTACTTTAATAGGGTTGAGACTCTGTTCTGGGGTTAAGTAAAATAAATTTGCTGTCAGGAAGAAAGAAATGGTGAGGAGCTGGTTGTTTGAAATGTCATTTTGTTAATTTGGATGTGTTGGTAGCTTGGTATGCTGCACTAAAATTAGATTGTACAAATAAGCAACCTTGCTCTCCTCAAAAGAAAACGGATTGGGAAACATAATATAAAATCCAGCTAAGCAAAACGGTGTATGTTTAGAAGTTGTTTTAATAGGTGCACTATAAAATGCGTGCCACACTAAAATGAAGAGCGACGGGTGGAGGGTTTCAGTGATGATGCGAGAACTGTTTTGAATGTTTGAAATGTTACTGTTGGAATAAGGCTGTCATTTTCAGCCATACTTAAGATGTGGTTTGAAAGGTCAAGTAGCCTTCAAGAAAGCCCCCCAAAAATGCAGTAAGTATTTTTCTCAGGCTTTTTTCCTTTCTGCCTCTAAAAGTGTACACTTAAGGAGTTACAGATAAAGCTTAGCATGGTGACTGTGTTGGGGGACTGCCCGAGGAAGGCTTTAAATTTTACAGCTACATTATCTTTCTGGCCGTAGTTAAGATAAAGATCTAATATAAAATCACTTTGGACTCTAATGCTTTCCCTAAATGAAATGAAGGCGTTAACCTACTTGATTTGATACACTTTACCCTAGCTTATAAAGCTGGGAGGAAGGTGAGGTAAACTTTAATTAAAACTACAGCACAGATGCCTTCTAGCACAGTGCCCTGTACCTTGCTAGGACTGTACAGTAAGCAAAATAAAATGTACCTCGCAGCCGAGGCAGCAGGCTGGAGCCGTGTTCAGTGAAAGTAATTTAATTAGTGTTGATCATGACTCCAGATGATGGTGATTTGATAAGGAATAATTTAGTACTTAACAGCCTTTTACATGCACCAACTCCATGTGGGAAGGTAAAGCAAATTGCACAAAATGAATGTGCTGCTTTCACTTGTGCCTGTGCCAGTGAGCTGGAAAACTGCCTGTTAGCAGACGTTCAGGCTCTCAGCGCTGTGATGAAATACCCAGCCAGTTCTCCGCACAGGGCTGTGGTGTGGGAGTCTCTGTACTCCCGTTATTTAAAAATAAATAAGGGAAGTAATTTTTCATAACAGATTAACTCTGAGGAAGTAGCAAAGTTAAAATAAAAAAAAAATAAAAAATAGAGCAGCATGTGGTTTTTGTGTGAATATGTGATACTGGCTTTAAAAAAGAGTCTTGTTGCAGTTGTGTTTTAATTCTCTGATTCAAGTCAACGAGATTGCCTACCTTTGTGTCAGAACCACTGTCCTGGAGTTGTGAGACCCATCATACGCATTAAATGTGCGCGGTGCATTATCTGACCAAGACATGCAAGGAGAGTCAGCAGTAAAAGTTCACTAGCAAAAACCTGAAACAAACTACTGGATGTCAGCCTGCTTTGCGATTACGGTGGAAAGCTGACTGGGCTGCATTTTGCCGTATTATTGAATTTGAGAATCTTTATTCAAAAAGTCGTTATGGTCTTCTATTTTAGTGCAAGTTCAGACAGCTTTATTCAGAAAGAGTTCTTTCGTTGTGACATTCACCACTTTTGATCTCTGTTTCTTAAGTTACTGTGCTGTGTGTATGTATTTGTGTACCTGTTTTACTGTCTGCTTTTCCTTTGTAATCTTTCCAGGTAATTGACTATTATCCACCAAATATAATAGCTGGATAGCAGTTTTAGAAATTCCTGTGAGTTTTGTGAAAATATGTGGCAAAATAACGTAGTACTGTCATGCAGATGTCTCAGCTGAAAGGTAATAGTAGACTCTGTCATGTAATAGGGTATGAGAGGACCCGTTTGTGAAAGAGTTCTCTGAACATTGCCAAGCCCTGGGAAAACCCATGGTGAGAATCTGGAATCCAGATCTTGCGGATACTTATAAATCAGTTTATTGGTTCTGATGCTCCCTTCTTAGCATTTCATTTATCTCCCCCTCCCCACCAAACACATGCGTGTGTACGCAGGTGCATTAGTATCAGAAAATATATGGTGTCTAACAAATTGTCTTCCCTAAGTTCAGGTGCAAGGGAAGGGGCAAGATGCTGCTTGATGGTGTGTAATAATGGCCTGATTTTGTGCTGAGGTTCTCTAACAGGGACTGCTGCATGTACGTGGATTTCCACAGAGGTGCAAGTGTCTGTGTCAGGCTGGAGCATGATGTTCAAACTACAGGTTTTGGTGACAACATCAAAAATTAGTGATAAAATTGATCTCCAAACTCTACGCTTCTCAGAGTTCAAAAATGTATTTACAACCTCATTTTATTTAAAACTTAAAGGGTGTGTTTTCAAGCTGTTAAACACCAGTTTTTTAGTCCTTTGTCCTCCTAGCCACTTACTTTAGATTTGTCTATGTCAGGTGAACTTTGAATTTTCTTCTGCTTTTATTTTGGTTAAGGTTGGATAGGAAATAAGGGAAGTTGGCTGGCTTAAACTAACATGCTGGTTAACCTTGTCTTTTCCTTTGGCCTTTTTCTTAATCCAGACCAACCTGTGCTTCTAATTAATGCTGCCTTTCTGTCACACTCCCTCTGTTCTTTTTACCTTTTAAAAAAGTATGATTTTTTTTTCCCCCTCAATTTGTGTCTGTTTCAAATTTACTATTGACTTTGGTGAGGCCAGGATTTTATCTTGTGTATTTTTGAGAAAAATTACTGAAGCCATTTCTTGTGTATTTTTTTCCAATGTTACTTGTAGCTAAAGGCACATGTAATCATCTAGTTTCGTAAGTTTCACTGCGAATTTTCATGTATTCTGTGGGACAAAAAGATTACTAATCGTATACTTGAGGCCGATATATGAGAAATTTATTTTGGAGTCATTTGCGTGGCACTCTTTGAAGTGAACTACTATTGCATTTATAGATAAAAGCTACCTCACTAATACTACTTAGAAACATTTGGTGCCTGGGAAGTATTTTGCCTCTGACAACATTTACAGTAGTTAAGCCAAATATAAGTGGGCTGTTATTTTCCTGCTAATGAGATGGGATCCTGGCCATCATTCTATTAAACAATAATAGTGCTAATAGCCAATGCGAAGGATCTCTGGTGTCTATTTTTCAGTTGACACCCAAAGAAATATTTGAAATGTTTATTTCCTATATTGTTTTTAGTATTACAATGGTTTAATTAATCATGTGTTTAATTAGCAGTGTCTAGCTTACTTGAGAAAGCTCATTGTTAATATTGTACTTGGGTTTTAATTACATTTTCTTTCTCTTTCCAGTGGCTTTTCATGGTCTCCCTGTGAAAATCAAGAAGGAACCCCATAGCCCATGTTCGGAACTTGGCTCCGCTTGCAGTCAAGAGCAACCATTCAAGTTCAGTTATGGGGAAAAGTGCCTGTACAATGTCAGGTAAAGCAATCAGGAGCATGTTTGCAGTGAGAACTGCTGATTTAAATGAGGACTGACTAAAGAGTAATAAAACCATAATAGAGATCTTATAAAAGTTACCTCTTCAGCAGATAACAGACTGATGAGATAATGCATTTAGCTGATGAACACTGATGGAGTTGTTTACAGTTGTATCAAACACTTACATAACCATTTTAAAGCAGTGTTTTTCATCAAAATGCATATTCTCCATTCCTTCTCCATGGGAGATAGCCAGAGTTTAAAAACCCAGGGTGCAAGCGTGAAATAGAAGGAAGGAGTGTCTCGTTTTGTGTGAGTCGTGTTGAAAGTACTTTCAAAATGCATTACACACATAAGGAAAGAGAGAGAGATCTGTGTAACAGGCAAGAGATTGGCAGGTCTGAGCAACACATTAGGTGTTTGACAGATTTTGCAGATGTTATATGTGTGTGTTCATGGGTGATTACAATTTAAAATAGTATTTCATTAGGCTTCGCATCTTTGTTACCTATTCAAAAGCAAGTTGTCTTCTTTTATAGAGATGGATAATAAAAGCTATATTTATTTGCGAGTGGTGGAGGGGCTTGATACCACTGCATTCTTTATTGACTTTCTTTTGGTTTGCACTTACGTGTCACTCTGTCCTTTAGTGTCAGCAATGAAGGGTTTCTTATTGACATTTCAGTCTATTTTAGAATCTTTCATCTAGTTCATGAGGTTTTATTCTCATTAATGTACTACCAACACTGTTAGCACTTAAAACATTTACATTTAACTTTTTGGATATGAAGGGTGGGGGGAAAGACTGGCACCTTTACCAGTCATAGAGGAGTAATTTTGATTTCGAAAGTCAAATACATACATTGATGGATTTGATGGGTGCTAGGGAACCTGACAGGAAAGTATGCAAGTTCATGCTTACTCTCTGCCTAATGTCTGCATTTTTCCTGTTTAGAAAGAGCGATGATCAAAGTGTGCTCAAGTTCTTTCCTGATTTGGGACGCCTTAGAAAATACTGTCTGTGTATTTGTAGGACCAGCACTTTATTTTGGGGGGGGGAACCTGTCAGGAGAGGCTGCTGACCTCCTAGTGTGGGTAGCTAAGCCAACATACCATTGTTTTTCTGGGTCAGATCCCTTCCCTCTAGCTGTATTGTTTTACTGTCTCACTTTGTGGTTTGTGCAAGCTCTAAAAAAGAGTCTTGACAGGCACTGCCAGCTCTTTGTGTTCTAGTCCAGGTGCTTCTACTTTTATGTATTTTGTATAACTCCTGTTAGAATGTCACTGTAAGACTGAATCCTTTAAAAATACATTTCTGTGCCCCAGAGAAGAAAATGCTGTGTTGAACCACTTGCCTCTAACATGACTTTTAATGTGCTCTTCACAATGTAAAGTAGATAATTCCTCTGCCCCAAACTGGTTAATAAGGTAACTACAATAGAAAGCTTATAAATGTGACACTTGGGTTTTTTTTTTTCTGGATGTAGATGCTACATTTTTTTTCCCCCCCCAAGAGGAAATAACCTGACCTTCTTTCCCCTTGCTTTACTGATAGTGCCTATGATCAGAAGCCACAAGTGGGAATGAGGCCCTCCAACCCACCAACGCCATCCAGCACTCCTGTGTCACCACTGCACCATGCCTCCCCAAACTCAGCTCAGACTCCTAAACCTGACCGGGTTTTCCCTACCCATCTCCCTCCATCCCAGTCCATTCAAGACAACAGCTTCCCTATGGACCACAGGTAAAATGCAAAACACGCAAGGGACCCGTGCAGAAGGCATTTCAGTTGTGCTTGCAAGTCTCTTATACAGGGTAGCGCTGGCTTCCTGCCCACAACTATTCCCGTTTGGGCTGGGAGATGAATCATAGAATCATAGAATCATTTAGGTTGGAAAAGACCTTTAAGATCATCCAGTCCAACCATTAACCTACACTACCAAGTCTACTCTAAGCCAATCAAGGGTAGACTAGACTAAAAGGTGAAAGCCAGCAAGGTTCAGAGTGTCAGAAATATGTGCATTTTATGAAAGGCTGGCACCCAGCTTGGTGGACTTCAGTAGGAGCTCATACTGGCAACAACAGAGTTTTAATGACCTGCGTCTTCTGTCTTGTGAGGGTGATTACAGGGTGCTAGATAATCTCATCGAGGCTCCCTTTCCCACGAAAGGTTGGACCCAATGGTCTTTCAAGGTCCCTTCCAACCTGGGCTCTTCTGTGGTTCACTTAAGGCTAGTAAGCCCTACGAGGTAATGAAGTCACTAGCAGGCATGATCCTGACTATAAATATCTGGCCTCTTGCTAAGCAATTCACCTATCTAAGAGATAAGTGGCCATGTTATGGTGTTGCTGCTTCAGAATATTTTTTGGAAGGGTGGATCATTTTTCCAACATGCTTTTGAAATACAGCATTTCAAACAAACTAAGATGCCAACATAAACTGTGCTTAAATAACATTAGTCTGAGTAAAAGCCACAAGAGCTAGAGACTAAAATTAAAGCTTAAACTGTCCTTAAGTCACCCTGTTTTGTTTTGATATGTTAGAAGTCCCCAGACAACTATCTTAGCTCTGTTTTGCAACAGATATGCTCAGTGGATTTCCCTGATTTTTGAGACCAAACACTTGTTTGTGGAATTCTATCTATTCTAACCTTTATTGCGTGAACCTGTTTTTGTCCGTAGTGTTGTGTGATTGCTCTGAGCATTTAAAATTTCAGCTGTATGTGAAGAGATATATATGTTCAGAAACTAGACTTGGCGCTTAAACATTAGCAAATTAAGAAGCACCTGAGAAGAAAATCACAGTTGTCGAGAATGTGATTTGCATGCTTCTGCTCTAATAAGGGCTATTATCTCCAGGGATTTGTGCAGATCACTTCTGAAGGGAGTTGCTAAGGTTTATATTGCTGTTTTGTGCTCTGCTGAGATAGTTTTAAGTATCACCCAAGGTTCTCTACAAGCCCTCCTGGTGGTGAGGAAACACTGAATTGGTCCCTTCAGCTGCCATAGTCACTGTCTTTTCTCCCTCCATGGACTGTGGTCTAACCATGCACGCCCCCAGTGAAGCCAAGCAGCGGTTTTGATTACAGGATGGTGGATGAATGTGTTTCTGTATATACACCAAAGTCAAGTTGTCAGGAGACTGAAATCTCCAGAAGCTAAATGGCTTCTGTGCAGAGAGCAGTAATAAGATTTTTCAGGTGAAAAAAATCTTTTGGTTTAGAACAACTTGTAAATAGAGTACTGAAGCTGTATGTCAGCCCTAATTTGAGTATTTATAGAGATTTGCATACACCTTAGTATATTTTTCTATACCCATAACACTTGCTCTACATGAGCTTTATAGGCTCTTCATATGATTTCCTCCACCCCATCTTTGATATTGATATTCGTTAGGGCATTTTGCACTAATGCTTCCCTTCCATGATAGAACACCATGTGTTCTAGTGAAGTCCAAAATAGCTGACTCAGGCCAAAAAATCTCATTTTTCTCTTTTTCTAAAGAAAGTTACAATTGTAGTGGAAGATATTTTCCCCCATTTTCTTACTTAGTTTGAATCTTGTCACTTCCAGCTGTTTGGAGCAAATGTGTACTTCACATTTTTGTGAAATTCAAATCTTCCCAATTTAAAAGGTGATATGCTACTACAATGAGTGTATTCAGAAAATGTCATTTAAACAAATGACCTGCCTACGTGAGTTCATACATAAATCTATAACTCAAGGCATATTTCTTTGGAACGTGCATTGGTGGCATAAGATAGCGTTAGTATCTAGAACATACAGCCCATACATCTTCATACAGGGCATGAATATATGAACGATAAGTGGTCCTAACAAGTACCAACAGGAATCAAATCCACTTGTATAAACAAATGGCTTGATTCCATACAAAGCTTCCAGTACAACAAGTATTATTAACTTCCTTTGAGGCTTTGTGAGTGAGTCTGTTTCTTATTTTAACTTGAAGTTGCAATTTTCTGATTCACTCCTTGACAGTTCTTAATGATAATTTCTGCTTCTTTTTTTGGCTAATGAAAAAAGGAAAAGAGGGAAATGAATGCAGTGCCAGTCAGCCTAACTGTTTCATAATACATTTGAGTTTCTAAGTTTATTTTCTGCAGGTGTAGGTGGAATTGCAAAACCCAATGTTACAGTGCAGTACTCTTTCTACTGCAAAATGTAATATTTACAGCATCGTTGAAAAAATTCATTTTGTCTCCGCTACTACATTGTAATAGTTTCTGTCTCTGTAGCTCCCACAGTATTTGTAATTAAGCTAGGACAGTAAATACGTGTCAGACCAAGTTCACAGAAGTATTATGACAGACAGCAGTGGAGTGTAAATTGTCTCAGAAATGTACTACATATGAGTTGATAGCGAAGGATGGTATTGCCTGTGAATCAAACCCCTGCATTCTTCTTCACTCACCCAGTTTTCTCCAAGAGAATGTCTGCTTTTGCTTGCATGAACCAAAGTCGGTTCAGATCCAAAGTACAGGAAGCTGAAGAACGATTAGTTATTATTTTGGGGTTGTGTTTGGTTTTTTTTTTCTAGTGCGACAGTGAGAAACTTGCAGAGAAAGGCACAGTTTTGTTTTTTTTTTTTAAAGTGTCTTGTTCATGATGAGTGATAACAGGACTAGTAAGTAGCTTGTTGCAAGAACATTGCATCTGCTGTGGATTTTTGCAGACACAGTATTACTACAGTCGTGGTTACTGCTACTGTGGTTATCTGCAGGAGATGACAGGAAGACTTTGTGCAGGTCATCAGGGCATGGTGGGAAAACAGCATCCCTGTATTCTTCTCTGTGCTTCTGAAACTGCAGATGTCCAAGTAATTACATTCAGGCCTTTCAGTGCAGGTAGATATGTTTTATGGAAGAAACAACAAGCATAGGTTCTCAAGTAGTGTTGCATGTAAATGAAGTTAATTTAAAACTGAATTCTCAGATTTTATGTCTACTGAAGAGCATTTGAGAGTAGTGAATGGCAGTGTGACTTGTATGGATGACTTCTTTCATGTAGAAATGACCAAGGGAACAAGTTAAGGCAGGAGGGGAATCGTTAGGCATTGTTTCTCTTAGTAAAAATTTGTACCCTCTCCTTTTTCTGGGGTGCTTACATTTCCTTCCCATTAGAGCTGGAATGCAGTACCAGCCTTGCAGGTAGATCTCCCACAGCGCTACCCCCAGGAGGACAGAACTGTGGACTTTTACCCTGGAATGATTCCAGGTATTATGGCAGACAATACTCTATTCAAAATGTTTGTGTTTATTGTGGTCAGAATGGTTTCTGTGTAACAGTAAGAATGGTAAGAGTAAATTAGAGTACAAGCAATATGTTGCTAATACTCGTGAAAGAACAGAGAACTCTACCAAAGCCTCCTTCATGTTGCTGTGGTAGTATGTTAGTCTTTCTACTGGTTTGAAGCCGGTGCGTTTCCTGTTTGCCTCTTCTGTTGAGAGACAATATTGAAAGCAGAGAGAGAAGGGTGGTAGGGACAGGTCTTAGAGCTGGTATTAATAGGTGGGGTGGTGGGTTTTTTTTGTTTCTTTGCTTGTTACTGTTCTATAACACAAGGGATCCTGATGGGAGCACTTGGCATTATCATAAGCAAAATTTTTGCTACTGAGAAAGTGATACAGCCACTAATGTGGAGATCTTTGGGAAATGGAATGTAGCTCAAGTCCTTTACATGACCTCTCTAACTTGTATCCTAGATTTCGCCGCCAGCTCTCTGAACCTTGCAATTCTTTCCCACCTTTGCCTGCAATGCCAAGGGAAGGACGTCCAATATATCAGCGCCAGATGTCTGAGCCAAACATCCCTTTCCCGCCTCAAGGTTTTAAGCAGGAGTACCACGATCCAGTTTATGAACACAATGCTATGGTTGGCAATGCAGCCAGTCAAAATTTCCCCCCTCCTCTGATGATTAAACAGGAACCTAGAGATTTTGCATATGATTCAGGTAGGTGAGACTCTCCTTTACTTCTGCATAGTAAATAAATGAGTCCAAGCTAGTGCTATTGATGTTTTGATCATATGAATTGAAACTTGCTCTTTTGGCTTCTAAGTCTCCTGAAGTAATTTATGTCTAATACAGCTTATGAAGTATTGCTACACAGTACAGCGTTATCTCGTGCCACCATTGCCATTGCTTGCTCTGCAAAGGATTTCGTTTTCCAGAAGTCTCTGTCCAGACAGTGCACAGGTTAGAGAAGCCAGGGAAGAAAAAATCATGGGTGCAAAATTGAGCTTTGCTTAAGAGGGGGCTTGTTCTGTACTGTCTCATCTCTGACCTCTGATTTTGTGTGCTCCATTTTACGAGCTCTTTCATTTATCTGCCAGAAATAGAGGACTCTCTCTCCTCTTGCTTGCACTACTTTAAATCAGGAGTAACTCCACTGAAGTGGGGTTTATACAGCTATAAAACCAATGAGGGAGAAGAATCAGCCAAATAGGTGTCAGCTTCTCAGTTTGTGCATACTGCTGTGTTTTGTGGAGGTACATAATCTGTGATGCCAGGTTGCTGATGTAGAGAATACGCTGTTGCTATTAATAATGTTTATTATGATTGTGCTTGTAGGGCAATTGGAATGGAGCCTTATTGCTCTACGGTCAGTACAAAACAGAGGAGGTGGTGGCAGAGCCTGCTCTCAATAGCTTCTGGTCAAAATAGAAAGATAAGTGGTAGAAAGGATAAAAACATAAATCAAGGGAATAACATTGTAAATGTTTGCCACAATTTAAATATAATATTTATATTGTACTTGGGAAAACAGAGAGAGAATTAGGGAAGCAAAAAAGGAGCTTCATGGTGAGTACCAAGTAACAAGGAGAAGGAAGCTGGAGGGGTTGTATGGAGAGGAGCTGAGGTTAAAACAGCATGTAGTGGGCTGGGTGGGGTAAACAGTTGATCAGTACTGAGCTGAGAAAATGCAATCAAAACACGTTTTTCAGTTCTGGTGTAAGTGATTTCTGCACCTCCTCTTCAGTCTCTGCCTCTGTTGTGCTTTGTGCATGCCACAGTGTGGAAAGGCAGGGATTTCAGTGAGTCCTTACCATGCTTTTGGAGGATGGTGCATCACCTCTGTACGCGTGCACCCTGAGTTGGGCAGGGGGAAAGGGTGGCCCGGTCTGACTTCAGTCTGACTCTCTCTTCTGGGTGCTGCAGTACCTGCAGTGCTTTCTTGCTGGTTTAGCCTCTGGTTAGATGCTTTTGCAGTCTATTTCCCAAAGGCTACGTAGCAGCTGAGGTGAGGTCTCCTTTGAAAGTGTAACCCGTGGCAAACTATCTTCCAGTTTGATACAGTGGAGAATTTGTTTTTATTATGTTTTCTGTAGCTAATTTAACATTGTCTATTTAGTGGGCTATTTTGTGGTATCATTGTTGTAAAGTGCCTCGTTTTGAATTTATCTCTGTGTTAGGACAGGGGAATTTGGAAAGTAGAGCTGCGTTCTTTCTTACTCTTGACATGTAAAGAACCAATCCTTAGGTAAATTTGAGTTAGGCCTATACAGGGAGGGGACCAAGGATGAAATATTTCTCCAAGTTGAAAAGTAAGACAAGATGAAAATGAGTTCAGATTACAAGGATCAGATCTAGAATTAAACCTGTTCATTGATGAAGGTTCTGAGATATGTGGCTTTGGCAGTCATGTATCGTTAGTCTTACAGAGCAGTATGGGAGAGACTGTCTGCATAGTTAATGTGGCAATGGATAATAAATAGGGGACTGCAGCTTCAGGCACCGCCAGTCCCTTGCAACCTTCACAAGCACCGTTATTCATCCTGCTAAATTAAAGGGTGAAAAAGGGCCTTTTGTAAGCATGCTTCATATTTGGCTAGGAAGTGGGATCTCCTTATTGCATACTATTACTTTAAATCTGAGTTGGCCGCTAGTGTTAATCTTTCTTCGGAATATTCTTTATGGAAAAAAAAGGCAATTTTATTCTGAAAGGAAGATGTGCAAACTTGTATCCAATCCTGTCATGCCTTTGTTTTTTTTGTGCCAGCAAGAACAACATTCCACTTTATAGTAATGACGTTCAAGGAAAATTGGTGTTTCTTTTGAGGATGAATAATTAGTTTTTAAAAATGTAATAGCTGTGTAACCAGTGGTCATGAAAAATTAATCTGTTGGTATCAGGAAGTACTTTTATTGGCCTCAGAATCACTGCATTTAAGTTGACACATCTGTACACTCCATAAATTGCAGTCAACAACTGTGGTCTGTTGATATTTTGTCTTGTTACCATCTGTTCTCTAGAAACCATCATTTTCCATCCTTGCTAAGAGTACATTAAATAACCCCTTAGGAAACATAATGTATTTGTCACTGAATCATTGATTTCATTTTTCACCTATGGATGTTCAGGGAAGGAGGATGCCAGTATGAAAAGTCTTTTTTGCATGATATTTTATTGCAGCTCAGATAAGAATACAGAAACATATTTAAGAAGTTCATTGTAATACACCGAGATGTTCCTTTTGGGATGTTTTTGAAAGAGCCTCATAAAAGTTCATTGCTTTTGTGCACTGTACTTTTATACTTTGTGGGAAGCTGGTGAATGAAAAGCATTATTATGGAATGATTATAACTCTATTAAAACATGACATTAATTATGACATGGGAAATGGCAGATCAATTAGTTGTAATTGTAATTGCAGGTATGCAATTTCTACTGCAGACTGTTTGAGATAATGGAAAAAGAAAAATGTCAACAGAGTAGAAGCTCTTCCTTATCCATCCACACTTCTAGAAGTCACAGTGCATCATACATGTTCAATCAATCAGACCTTATTTTCTGCCTCGGATTTTTTTTTTCCCCATGGCTGCCAGTCATACGTATTTAGTACTTGGTGCTATATCTGGCAACTTTTAAGCACAAAGATGCAGCCAAGGACATAGAGAGCTTTGCATCATTAGTGAATATACCCCAGAAGGCTTCCCAAGACCTGTGTTTACAAGGGTTAACAGTGGGCATTCAAATTAGCCTTCTAGAAGTCAGTTCATGTATTTAGTTATTTAAACAAAAAGGCCAAACTTGAGATTCTTCTGGGCTTTATTTTGAAGCAGGATCTTTGCAGGCTTGATCCTCCCTACCTAATATAGTGTATGTGCAAATTTACTAAGGTATGACTCTAGCTATGCATGTATCAATTAATATTAAAAGTCTAGTTTTAAAATGACATCTTAAATTGTTGTTAAGTTTAAATCTCATATTCTGTTTTGTCAAATTGAAATAGTTACTCTGGTTGGAAAGCTCTTCTGTGACCGTGTCTTTGACTGGGAACTTTGAAATTCGTCACACAGTGGTGTTAAGAGATAAGTAGAGGAGGAATCATTGCTTGCATGTGCTTATTACCAATTGCTAGGAATTTGTCTGTTGAAATCTAGATAGATTTAAATCTTTCTTGAGCAGGTTAGAGGCATTAGCTGGGCTATTCTCGCAGTTACATTTCAGGGTAGCCTCACAATTAATACGCTTGAATGGACCTTAGAAAATTTAGATTCTGTCCCTGTCACTTCCAAAGTTTTCTTCCAAGATACTAGTCACACCACTTAAAGAATGAACTATCCAGACAGAATTATTAGCCTTCATATCTTGCTTTCTGGGTTGCTCATCCTTTTAATTTCTGAGGCCTCACAAGCAATAAATACCTTGTGTTGGTACATTAGAAAGTATGACGAACTGCCTTTCTGCTAAGAGAGATGAGCAGAGACACACATCAGATGTGTATACCTCCTTATTTTGGGTACTCAGTTAGGACTGGATAATTTTTAAAGAATGTTGTGTATTACATATGTTCAAAGCTGGGCTCCTATGGAGTCCCTGTGTATTTCTAGGCGAGGAGGCATGGGAACATCAGATTAGGGTCCCTGTGTAAGCACTGCAAAAATAAGAAATGTGTAATACGAAAAATCTGGCAGAAGTGACGTGACTACTTTGGAAAACTTTGTTGGGGTTGGAATGGGCTTTGTTGGAGCCTAAAACTGATCATTTAGCTGTATTAATCTTGAAGTCATCTTTTCCTTTCTTGAAATGTTCTGCCTCATTAAGTACACAACTTCCAGCCTCTGTAACAAATGAAACAGGGGCTCCACCTGCAAAGCTGTTTACTGCATGGCTCTCCCTCCCCCAAACTGTTTTGACCCGTGCACTCAAGAGTGCTGAGGCAAAAGGCTGTATCATCATTCATTTGCAACAAAGGAGTTGTATCAAGGTTGCCCAGGAAGTTGTAATTATGACACTTCTTAACCTCCTAAGTTTGCTCTCATAGGTACAGGATGTTGTTAGCATTCTACCATCCATGTTATAAATGTGTATTTACCTAATGACTGGGAACAGAATAAAAACCAAGAGTCCTTTAAAATACCTGATGTGGTGTTTTTTGAAAAGCAAATCAATGCAAATTAACGTGGAAAAAGATCCCTAGTAGCACATACTTCCCTAGAGATCAGCTGACGTCCTTAAATTTAGGAGTTTGCAGAACAGCATAAGAGAATGTGTTGAATTAAAATTTCAGGGAAAAAAATATATTTCTTGGAAGTATATTTATTTGCAGATTGGTTTTTTTCCCCCCTTTCCTTTTTTAAACAACAGTTGGATATTCTATTGTACTTCTTGGAAGTAAATTTTAGACATTTGGAGATGTAGTATGAAGGAAAAAAGGAAATCTTAGCTGTCAGTCAGAGTCAGTGCAGGTTTGCTTTTTCCAGGATATTCTCTAGTGCATTGACCAGTGCAGCATTTAAAATGACACAACTCATGGTGTTTGCACTACTGTCTTTAATTATATTGGCTAATTTTGTACAGTGCTTTGAAAACGTAAAGCACTGTATGAGTGCTAAGTATTACTACAGTTATTCCCCTGGGAGATTATTTCACAGACTAATAGACTTCACAGTTAAGAAATAATTCTTGATTGTAAGCCTAAATTTTCCCTTTGATCAGGTCCATTCCC